TCAAGCATGCAGTGCTAATCTTCGCAATGCGATACTTGGCCAACACCTTGCCCACAATATCCGGCCAAACCCAGCGAATCAACTGACCGACCACCAACGGCAACAACACCGCCAGACCCAACTGCTTAAACACATCGCGATACATATCGGAGAGATTCCCATCCCCAGTTCTCCAGACATCAAACTCCTCCGACTTCGGCAGCAAAGTCACCGTCCATCCAGCGGTGATAAACGGGCCCAAGAAATTAGCAATAATGACCTCCACCAGCGCCGCGGCATCATCACCGCCCGCCGAGCGAGTCATGACAACATTCGAAGCAATAGTGGTAGGAATGCAAGCCAGGAAGATATACCCAGCCAGCAGGGCGCGATCGATATGTTCATCTGGGTCACCGGCCAAGATAATATGCACGATAGCAAGGATGAAAGCCGGGATAACGAGGAATGATAGACCCTGGACAAGAACATGCAGTCGCCAATTAAGGAGGTGGATGATAAGCTTTTCTCGAGGCACGCTGAGCCCGGAGATCAGGAAAATGAGGGCCATTGCGCCATAGAGAATGCTATACTCGGAGCGGATGATGCCGCCGCTCTTGGCGACGTTGGGGAAATAGTAGGCCAAGACGCAGGCGACTCCGATGCCGATGAGGAGCCATTGGTGGAGGATAAAGAGGGCGATGGTCTTGAGGGTTCGTGTTGTGCCCCTGGTGGATGTGGGGTCATGGTTGGATATGGACATTGCTGCTGATGCTGCTCAGCTCATACGGGATGAATGCCGATAATAGGAAATTTTCATATCTTGGCTTCAACGTCAGAAAAGCGATCCCAAATCTCCAAAAGAATAAACCAAATCAAGAAATTCCACATACCAACATTGTCGCGTGGTGGAATGTTGAAAAAGAAGGGTAAAAAAAAGAGCCTAGCACTCGGATCATGTCCGAGCTGGGGGGCTGATAAACTGATAGGCTGAACGATTGTCCATTTTATCGGTTGCTTGACGCGATCCGGGGTTTGGACCACAACTATCAGTAGTGCGGTGCAGCGTAACCAATAGAAACATAAAGGAATGAAAGTACTCATTTAGTATTTATACAGTTATTAGCGATAATGAGGAAACACGACATCTGAACTAGCGATATTGATCCTGAAGGGGACTCGAATTATATAGTGGGGTTTTCCCATAGGCTTATTGGGATTAAAGATATCGGTTCATCCTTGGCATGGGTTTCCACAGTTGTCGGTCACGCTACTACTATTCGTCTACACCAACAGATCTATAGATAATGTTTATACTTATGATGAGTCTCTTATAGTTGCTATTGGGGTATATTCCCGATAGAATACTAGTAACTTATACCTCAGGCTCTATCCAGATAAGGCTGCATATTACTATGTCCCGCACTCTTACATACCTAGTCTCAAGTCCAAGACTCAGATCGGAGAAGATTGGATTCCATTTATACTACTACATGAAGTGTGAGCTGAGAGTATGTGACCAAGCCCTTCCTACTCCGACACTGCACGTACATGTCTCTCCGATGGACAAACCCACACCACCATTAAACAGACGTAAGATATGGGGCCATGACTGGAATCACATAACAAGACAAGAAAGAACATGATAGGGACTATACAGGAAGACCCCTCCGCACTACTTAGGGTAGCATAGAGCGATGAATAATCAAAATAACAGAGATCATATGCTAGTTAACTAAAACTAACAACAATCTACTGACTAACCGTTCATTATACTTTGACATGTGAAGATCTGGGGGAGCGATCGCTTTCCCTTGTTTTTAGTATTTTTATCTTATCGGTATGTCCCCTCTTCTGTTTTCTTTACTATTATTATTATTTTCTTTACTCCCCGTTTTGGTTGTTCAGGGACATGCCGTGCCTGTAATACATTTCTCCTCGCAGTTCGAATCTTTTTTCATAAGTTTATTTCTCTTAATAATCTCGTTATGTATGCTCGGAAGAATGACCTCCGGGGGGCGTGGGTAAATCATGAACCGTGGGGTAAACCTTCAGGAGAGGGGAACATGCATAATCCCGTGACTTGCAAAAAAGGAAGCAACGAAAAGGTAATATACTAGCTGGAAAGGGGAAAATCCCTGGGGGTCACAAGATGAGAGGCATAGTTCTTTCTCTTGTTTTTCCTTTTATCACATTCAGACTGTAATTATTATCCATCCCACACAGGATGAACATTTCCTTGCTATTAACCACTGTCGGCACTGACGGACGGAGAAAGGACCTCGGCTGAAGAACGACCCCAGGCTTGGCCCGGAATTACCCGTGGAAATTATAGGACTGGTGCACCAACTTCCTATCCCCCACACTTTAGGGTCACGGTCTTGTCTCGGGGGTAAAGAAAGCCATGTCACAAGCTAAGGCTTTCTATGTAAGTGAGTAGGTAGCTACTGCTGCTTACGACTGGCAGATGACGACGATATGCTGGAAACCAAGCCATTAGGGAACTCTCCAGCATGTGAAGAGTACGGTCTTACCTGACATTTGGGAACCATGATCTTTGGTTCCGGCTTACCATTGGCACTCTGAGGTCACTTTTGGCCACGCCACCTTTAGGCCACAAGGACTAGAAGTGCCAATGTGCGCGCCGTTATTCGGAATGACTTTGTGCAGCTCCCGATGCCTCGGGGTGAGGTAGAATAAGTTCAGTAGACACGAGCAGCTTAACCACCACCGGGGAGATGGCAGCCGTAAGGGTATAAGTGATGGGATGTCCCCCACGTTAAGGGAAATCGTAAATCGTGGAGAGTCCAGAATCCAATCACTTGACTAGTTTCTTTTCCTTCCGTTGACCCTGTCCTAAGTTCATATTCAAGGCGTTCGGTTGTTGGTCTACTGTGCGAAGACGGCGGCATTGCTTCCGCTCGTCCAGAGAAGCTTCCTCCGCTTCCCCGTCATAGCTCCCTCCACGCCCGGTACGCCTGGGCTAAAATCAATCCAAAGCGACAGCAAAAGCCGCCACTGGAGCCGAGCCCGTCTGAGATCCTCATTGCCGAGAACGGCCTTGCGAATGTTTGGGATCTTCCAGCTAAGCCGCTAATCAAGTGACTCCCTCACTCGCCGATTTAAATACCCTGGGTGGGCAGAGCCGAGGGACGTAGTTATACTTCCGTATCTCCCCGTATTTTTGGGCCTTCCTGTGAACCTCCGAGATCGTCCCCGTCCTTTCTTTTAATTAAAAAATAATAAAGATCCCTGGACTCCGGATCGCTGGCGATTCACTCTTGATCTTTCTCTCCTCTTTTCCCCCCTTTTGTCAAAGTACTTTCGCTGCAAGCGATCGCCTGGAAGCTTGTCCTACTGCGTTGCCGGCTATAGCTCTTGCAGAAGAGCTTCTTACCAATTGACGGAGAAAACAACATCTCTGCAAAATTAGCAATTGTTCACAATGTCCGCAAAAACTGTACAAGGCCGCAATGGCAAGAAGCCAGCCTCCCCGGCTGTGAACCTCATCGGTAAGCAAACCCTCCCGGCGCATTGAGTGAGTACTGTACTAACTTGCGATTCAGCTGGTGGTGGTGCCGGTATGATGGAAGCGCTCGTGTGTCACCCCCTCGGTATGTGCTAAAATAAATCAATTGACTGTCCCGGGCGAGAACCCCACTGACAGTATATGCCAGACACCATCAAAGTTCGGATGCAGCTCTCTCGCCGGGCCCGCGCACCGGGTGTAAGTGAGCACCATGTGTGAAGCATTGAGTCACTGTTAACCGTCTGATAGGTAAAACCCCGCGGGTTCGTTGCCACTGGTGTTGAGATCGTGAAGAAGGAGACTGCCATGGGTCTATACAAGGGTCTGGGTGCTGTCCTTGGTGGTATCATCCCTAAGATGGCAATCCGGTTCACCTCCTACGAATCATACAAGCAAATGCTTGCTGATAAGGAGACCGGTGCCGTGACCAGCAAAGCCACTTTCCTGGGTAAGTTGCAATCCATTGCCCTTCTTTAGTGGGGTATGTGGAGGCTAACAGGGCTCCTTTCATTTAGCTGGTCTTGCTGCTGGTGTGACCGAAGCCGTGGCAGTGGTCAATCCTATGGAGGTTGTTAAGATTCGTTTGCAAGCACAACATCACAGTCTGGCGGACCCTCTCGATACCCCCAAGTACCGCAGTGCACCACATGCGCTTTTCACCGTGATCAAGGAAGAGGGATTCAGCACTCTGTACCGCGGTGTCTCCCTGACTGCCCTTCGTCAAGGAACCAACCAAGCGGCCAACTTCACAGCCTACACCGAATTGAAGGCTTTCCTCCAGAGAGTTCAGCCCGAGTACAGCAACACACAGCTTCCTTCCTACCAGACAACTTTTATCGGTCTGATCTCCGGTGCCGTCGGGCCTTTTTCCAACGCCCCGATCGACACGATCAAGACGAGACTGCAGAAGACCCGCGCTGAGCCCGGTCAATCAGCCGTATCACGTATCATGGTCATCGCGAAGGACATGTTCAAGCAAGAGGGTGCTCGCGCCTTCTACAAGGGTATCACACCCCGTGTGATGAGAGTGGCACCTGGTCAGGCCGTCACTTTCACCGTGTACGAGTTCCTGAAGGGCAAGCTGGAGACCTCCGGGTGGGCTTTCGTTGGTGGAAACTATGAAGAGTAAGTGGCTCCCATTGAAGGGATGGCCACTGTATGTTCTCGAAAGCATTTGATACCATGAGCATGGTGGCGTTTTCGATCGCTGAGTTATCAGTAATCTCCTGTTTATATGTTTGGGGGTATTGGAGAGCCGCCAGGCGAGATCCACGTGGAGTGGGTTGTATATATTATATCCGTTTTCCTTGTTCATTTCCTATGTTAGCATACCTCCGTTCTTGGATAGAGCCAAAAACCATTCAGAGAAGTCCATTGAATTCCGAGGGTGTAGTATAGAGTAGAAGTACGTAGATACAAAACTTCCCACGTAGATAAGGGGGCCGATCACCCGGGGCAGCAAACTGAGCCCCGCTAGAAGCAAGACACACCGCTTCTGCCCTTCCCCTCCGTCTGTCTCCCCGAAACAACCTTCCAGATAAACCCCTCGACTGCAGGAAGTAGACCGGCCGATAAGTTGCATAACCCGAAACGGCCAGGAGCTACTGCTGGACCTTGATTCACGATGCAGTCCGGAATCTCAGGTACATATCTACAAATCTCGTTCCCCTCGTCTTCCCCTTGTTCCTGACGATTACGACATCCCGCAACCGATCCCCTCGGACATGCCACCTTACAAACCCAAGTTACGCTCAACTCCAGCATTCTTTGCTAACTATACACAATAGTCTCTGATGAGCTTCACGAAGCCTTCAGGAACTTCGTCTCCGATGAATCCATCTTCTGTCTTCCCGTAACAATCAAGTCGGAAAGCCTGTCGCCCCTTTCCCCGGTTCCTTTCGCCTCTCCAAACGCCTTCTACCCATCTCTTTCCCAGCTCTCGTCCGTCCTTGAACCCAAAACTCCTCTTTACCTCCTCATTCGTCGCCCTGAGGGTGGTTCATCCTCCCTCGTGGCTCTGACCTACATTCCTTCTAATGCTGGCGTGCGCGCTAAGACTCTCTTCGCCGCAACCCGCGCCACCTTGGCTAGGGAACTGGGAACGGAGAAGTTTGCTTCCACCATCTTCGCTACGGATGAAGATGAGGTCATTGGTGAGGAGGCATGGAAGGAGCGGGATGCTGAGAAGAAGGGTACCGCGGGCGGTTTCCGACGGGAGGATCTGATGGGTGAGAAGGAGCGGGAGTTGGAGGCTGTGCGGAGAGCCGAAGAGGAGGCTCGCAGCGGCACTCCGAGCAGAGATATCGGTATTGGTGGCACGTTCAACAGGGCAAACCCATTCGGTGGTGCATCGGTCAAGATGAAGGTCGATGACGATGTTAAGCAGGCCCTCGAAGGGTTACAGCAGGGAGGCCTGGTTCAGCTGGTACGTCTCTTCATGATCCTGCGATCAATGCACTGGGTTATGTGTCTTTCAATTAAGAATCTAACTTCGATTTGTCTAAATACAGTCCATTGATGTCCCCACGGAGGCGATCAAGGTTGCTGCCGCTGAGTCCGGAGTGGAGGCGAACTCCGTCCAGTCACACATCCCTTCGTCTTCTCCCCGGTACACACTTTACCACTACCCCGACTCCGACGTGGTGATCTTCATCTATACCTGCCCCTCGGGTTCCTCGATCAAGGAGCGTATGCTGTACGCCAGCTCCCGGATGCATGCAATCACTATGGCTGGCGATCAGGGCCTGAAGATTTCAAAGAAGGTAAGAGCTGAATGCACACGCTCGATTGATTGAAGAGTCCCTAACACAGCACGCAGATCGAGGCCTCCTCGCCTGATGAGATCACGGGCGAAAGGTTGCATGAAGAAGTCCACCCGCCCCAGGACAACGGACCGAGCCGGGGATTTGCGAGACCGAGACGTCCGGGTCGGTAAATCTCCGCGCGTGGTTAGATGATTCGTAATTTCTTGTATATCCCGCTCTATGATCCGCGATAGTATATAGCCCGGGCACCTGTGACCGAAACACCGCCGGTACAAATCTCCTCTGTCTTCTGTAGCTGTAGCCGTCTCACACTCAACAACCGTTTATATTCGCCCAAGCCACCCCCATAAGTCTGCAGAGCTCCCTAAGACCAGGAGCATACGATGCAGAGAGCAGACGCTCTCGCCCAAGAGCCCAAACGCGTGGCGAACAAGGAGAAAACAACACCCAGCCCACATCAATGATTTCGAAAACTTTTCTTTTGGTAGAATAAATCCGTCCTCGAACTTCCCAAGTTTATAATCTTCGGGCATCCGTCTCGGTCCTTCTCGAGTCGCGTGCACTCAAAGCAATAGAAAGCATCACTGATTCCCTCTCCACCACACACGATGCACTTGTTCTGGTAGTTTCCGAAGGAGCACTCGTCGCAAATGCGGACCAGGGTCGTGGGACGCACGTAGGAGTCGCACACGGGACATTTGCCGTCACACTTATCGCACAAGCGGCCGATAGAGATACCGGGCTGCTTGCGGCACATGACGAGATCGGGGTGATGGCGAGACATGGTGGATTTATGGGATTAGTAGCTCTTTGGTGAAAGTGTTGAGAGGGACGCGACGAGTCTTGAGAAGAACGAGTGTGGATAACGAGGACAGATCTCAGGTCCGGTGTCGAAGAAAGCTGCCGTTATTACGAGCAGTTAACGCTTCGTAATGATATAATGTGATATGTCAGCAGCGAGACAGTGGAAGGCAATCGAAGAAGTCTGGGTCGGGGACACACAGAAGAGAGAGGCAGAGAGGGAGGGTGGAACTGGAAGAAACGCTCTTTCGGGGCGGTCTGGTGGTCCGTGCACGGGCCGTTGGAGTCCCGCCGCGCCGGGCATATCGCGATACCGAAACGAAGGTTTGATTGAGAGAAGCTGCAAATGAATACCCGGTGACTTCTGGTTGTTTTCGCGGAATGTTTTGATTGGAGTTGTTCGATACCAAGTGTCTGTTCTTCTAATTTTACAAGCATTCCTGTTTTCATCTGATTGATTCTTATTTCCTTCTTTCCTCACCTCTCACGGCTTCTCCCTGCCAGATATGACCGAAGGGTATATATTATTTCGCTGCCTACCCTGACTATTTTTCTTGACAAGAAACATCCCTGCTAACATGGGACATTTGCATGAAAATACAGAACTCTCGCGTCGGCCGTCGCCCTCCCCGACCAGGACACTACTACAATCCCGTCTCCAGAAGCAGGGCTAAAGCGGCGACAGTCGTCGATTGAAGACCCAGACTCGGAGAACAAACGCCGTCGTCTTAGCTCACAAACGGAACATCATGATGACACCCAGTCAATTCCGGATCGCAAACAGGCCTCACCGGATGTAACAGAACGGAAACCGCGGCGTGGCGCAGGACGGGATGAGGAGCGCAAACGCGGCCAACGACTATTCGGTGCTCTGCTGGGGACGCTTTCGCAGAGCTCGACCTCGGCGGCCCAAAAGCGACGTGCAGATATTGAACGACGACAACAGGATAAGCTGAAGTTGCAGGATGAAGAATATGGAGAGCTGAAGAAGAAGAGGCGGGAGGAACTGGCGGTGATTCGGAAGAAGGAGCAGAGGTTCTACGAGGAGGAATCGGTGAGTTTTAAGATTCCGTGTTCCCGGATGGTGGTCATGATGGTGATTTGCTGGGTTTTTGGTTTGCTGCTCGGTTTATGTCGTGCGGGCGCTGATAAATGGATGTCTCAGATGCGCACGCGCCACTCGAATCTGATTGCGATGGCTCATTTCCTTAAGACGAGGACAGAGCCGGTATTAGTATGTTTCCCGACTTTATGGTTTTGTGGCGTTGGTGCTTGAGTTTGGGAGATTCTGACTATTCTATCTGCAGTACTACAAGCCGTGGCAGCTAAGGGCGGAGGATGAGGACATAATACAGGACCAGATTAAAGAAGCGGAAGCTACTGTCGCAAGAGAAGTGGCGGAGTTCGACGCACGCTATTCGTCCCACGAGGAGAAGAACCCCGAGCAGCAGGAGGAGAAGATGCAGGAGGCTGAGCATGAAGAGACCCAGGAACCAGCCTCTGTGTCCGAGTCAGACGCCATGGAGAATAAGAGCGTCGCTCAAGCGTCTTCGGTGACTATGGGAGCTGAGACAACAGCCGGTGGAGGCTCCGAAGAAGCCAAAGCCGAGACCTCACCTGCTAATGACAGCAATGTATCTACTAGTATGGACCATGACCGCTCGGATATCCATCGACACGACGATGATGGCGGTGAAGTGGAGGAGGACCAAGAAGATACGGTAATCTATTAGCAGCAGAAGCGGTGACACCCTTTCTCATTCTTCGTTTTATTTAATTCCACCATATTCTATCATATCGAGTAGCGAATTGCAATGTCGACCGGAGGTTGAAGGCAAGTCTATGCTTCTCCTCCTTATGTACATTCTTAGTGTCTGCATCGAGTAAGAACCGAGGCATCTCGGCGGGAAGGCCGGCGAGTTCCCCCCTTCGGCTGGCTGAACACAAACAATTCGGCGGTCACCAATCAACCAGGGCGAAACTACTGCCAGGAAAACAGGTTTATGTGTACCAGAAATGCCATATTACTCGTGCCCAATGGACTCTGTCGCCTCATTTCCTGTAGTTAGTCTTATATTCATCGATCAATAGCCCCGGTTGCACGTGACGGGACAGCTGGCGGGGGTCTCCATAGGGTACCATTTATAGATCCTGGGAAAGTCGGTATAGTAGCATGCAACTTGCCTGAACACTTCTTTCACTCCATCTAAATCTCTTCCTGCAGTAGACATCCTTGTCAGTACTTGAACATTGCAGCTTTCCATCCAACGTTGTTCCGTCATGACCGTGGACAAGATCGATGTAACCGGCGACCCGAGGGTCGAGCGCCGCTCGGCAACCGTCAATGGCAAGACATACGGTATGTAGGAGATGCAGCACATCTGATGCAATTCAAAGGACGGCTATCCTGCAGGCTCGATTATTCCTCAAATCATGCATCATTATTATAATCATGCAGCACAGCTGTCCCCCTATATTCATCCAGATGTAGAGACACTAGAAGCTGTAAAACATGATCGCTGATATATATCGCAGGCTACCTCTACAGCGAGCCCGAATCGGGGGTTTATCGGGCAACAATCTTCCTCGTGCGTGATGCCATCCCAATCAAGAGTGACTAGTGATATATATCACATTAAAATACGTATCATCTAAACCAGACAAGACGATCTAACTACTATCTGTTGCGTACAGCTCCATGGCTTCCCCGACCTATCCATGGGATGGCGCTACCAAATCCCCATGTTGATTTCCATGGGTCTGCGAGTTGTCGCGCCAGATTGTCTAGGATACGGCCGAACAGTACGTGCCATCATCACCCTCAAAACACACAAGACATCAATATTAACGAATAAATAGGACGCACCCGAAGAAATAGAACTATATTCGCACAAAAGCTGCGCCAACGACATCAAAGAACTCGCAATCCAACTAGACGCACCCGAGATCATCCTCGGCGGACATGACTGGTAAGCACTTTCACCTCCATCTTGATATTCAAACAATATATTCTACACTATAACAGCAAGCAAACAAACAAACAAACTAAACCTCAAACCGAACAGGGGCGCCGCTCTCGCCTACCGCGTCGCGCTCTGGCACCCGGAGCTCGTAACGCACATCTTCACGGTCTGCGTGCCATACGCAGCGCCAACCCGGAAATACCTCGCGCTAGAAGACATGGTAGAGAACATTGCGCCGCATTTCGCGTACCAGCTGCAATTCCGGAGCGGGAATCTCGAAGATGTCATCTTTAGTAAGGAAGATATCGAAAAGTTCTTGTCGGCGCTGTATGGCGGTCGCACGGATGATAGGGACGTGGCGTTTGATGCCGAGTATGGGGTTTTGTTGGATCGGATGGAGCTTGTTAGGCCGTCGCCTTTGTTGAGTGAGGTGGTGAGTTTATTTCTACTTGCTTCTTATGAAAGAAGGGAGTGGGATGCAGAGGCTAATGTGGATGACATCCAGGAACTGGAATACTACGCGAATGAATTCTCGAGGAACGGGCTGAGAGGGCCATGTATGTTCCAACCATCCCTATTCCCATTACCGCCCAACCCCTAGTATTGAGGGAAAAAAATAATACTGACAAACACACAGTAAACTGGTACCGCACACGGGAGATAAACTACGAAGAAGAGCTCGCCATCCTGAACGCCCGCATCACAGCCCCATTACTATTCATCCAAGCGCTGAAGGACTCCGCACTGCCGCCGCATCTAGGAAAAGGAATGACGAGGACGGTGCCGCATTTGACGTACAAGCAGGTGAACACGGGGCATTGGGCACTGTGGCAGGAGCCGGAGGAGGTGAATGAGATTATTGCGTGGTGGTTGAAGGAGGTGGTGTTTAAGAGTTTGAGGATGTCGAGGTTGTGAGCATTGATTTTGATGGAGGTGGTGCTATGTATGGGTACTACTCAAGTGTACTTTTCTGTACGCATATCTTGCTTGATCGTTGTATTCTTGGGTCTGTTTTGGGACTTTGGGTTTATCCGCTGGGCGGGATTATATCGAAGATTGTTTGGGATTTACAGGTTATTGAAAATGGGTCACTAGTACTAGGATAAAGTCATTTATATAAGTAACATGGAGGTCGGCATAGTATGAGAGCTGTTCGAACGAGCCGCGGGGCAGTTCACTAGCAAGTAAGTAGTATTATTGACAACCAAATGAATATCTATAAACAACCAGCTCAAGTCATAAGTAGCTATATAACAAAATCCTGTTGAGAGTTCGTCAATCGGCCAAGGCCACAAGCAAATCAATTATCAACGATCTGAGTCTCAATATGACACCCGACCTTATCCCAGCGATCAATGAACTCCTGACCCAAAGTAGCAGTAGTGACGATACCACAACGAGACACCTTCTTCACCTTCTCCTCATTCTCAAGAATCGTCATGGCCGCCTCAGCCAGACTCAGCCCAGTGAACTCATACATAGTACCCTGGTATCTCAACTTGCCCAGCACGCGCTGAGGCGTGGGGGTATCCTGATCCGCAGTCGCGACGGCGCGGTACTCGACGAAGTCGTTGACGGAATCCTCGAGGGTAGGGCCAGTACCCGGAGTGTAAATGTACTTCCGGACGAGGGTGCGAACCGAAGGCAGGAGTAGAGCCGTGATAGCGAACAGGAACGTATAGTGCCAGAGAATTCCGGTGAAGGCGTTCCTGGCGCGGAGGAATTGTCTGAAGTAGAATCGGGGACCGTAGAACTCAGGCATCAGGGTACTGCTGCGGTGGACGGTGGTGGTGTCTGCTAGGCCTGATGGAGAGGTGGTCAAGATACCCATGTCGCGGACGGATCGGATACCGAGTAGCCTCGCCCATAGCGGCTCACGGGGGATATCTTTCGGAGGGGCCGATGCGGCCAGCGCAAAGGGGGTGGAGATTTTGCGCATTTCGGAAGGTGGTACATTCTCAAAGAAAGTGAGAACGGTGGAGAGAGTGCCGCCGCTTGCTCCGGAGGATCTGCGAGGGTTGGTGTTAGGTATTGGATGGTCTATTGAAGTAGGTGAAACCTTACTTGATCTCGTGGATGTCACCGGTGATTGATCTGGTGTGGCAGGATAGATCTTCGCGGACTCGCTTCACTGTAGCCCAGGCGAGCAAGTCTGCAGGTGCGCTTTCGATGCCAACGCAAGGGATGATCTGATTGACAGTTAGGTTGTTGTTGTCGTATTGCGGAGTCGTGAGGGTAAGGTACATACAACAGCACCGTTCGCTTTGGCAGTTTCGTGGTATTCGCCGATGATCTCCTTGACCCAGTGTGTCTCTCCGGTACTGCTTCGGTTAGCTATGCATTGGTGGACTGGTTATACAGAGGCAAACTGACGCATCGACGTAGTGAGTTCCGTTGCTGGCGCAAGCTTCAATCACAGGCGTGGAGTATAGACAGTAGGGACCCACGCAGTTAATGATAACTCGCGTCTTTTGGACCAACGGGTGCAGCTCTTCACGGTTGAGTTGCACGGCGAGGAGGTCTACAAGCAAGTCAACGGTGTGTTCAGCCAACAGACATGTAGTATCAAGTACCTGGCTCGGCACGATCCGGGTTCACATTCTTGAGCTCTTTGGCGATATTCTCCAATTTGCTGAGAGAACGACCAGCCAGAGCCCACTTCAGGTTGGTGGGAAAGTTCTTGACGATGTGGTCAGCACAGAAGCGTCCTGTATAGCCCGTGGGCCCCAGGACGATCAGATCATATTGCTTGTTGGATTCCATTTGTTTGTGAGGCTTTGTCGGCTATATCGATTTGTGATATACGAAGGAGACGCTGGATAGCAGATACAGGTAGGATACAAGCACTATGCAAATTATTTGACCGCCACGGATGAATCTAGGGGGGATTCCTGAATGCCACCCAGCCATGACGGCGTTGCTGAACAGCGGTCCTGGGCTAACCCGATGTGAAGAAACCTCCGATGAGAGGACCGAGGCATGTGGTTATGCTTAATGCAGTAATGGGATGAGGGGACATTGTGTAGTTCATTGTAGCCGTCTCTAGCATATGAAAGGGTTTTACTCGCTTCTGTTCAGTAATCAAAATCAAGCAAGGGTCCTAAAGAAGCTATACAAACCCTTGTTGCTTACCATGAGGTAACTATTGCCGACTAGTTACAAAGTGGTTAGTAAACTAATTAATTAGTTGTGTTATGCTGTGTCGCATTACATAATCTTCCGTTTGTGTACACACGTGCGTGGGGGCCTGCTGGTTCGAGATAGATGCGCACAGTACGGCGCAAAATGAAGAACATGGCTATGAGCAGGAAAGTAGATGAATTGAAAGAAGTTACGAAGTCCTCTATAGATTAAACCGCATAGTTTTCCACATTATGTCAAAGTATGCTACTACTAGAGTAGCCAAGTGAATACATCATGAGAAGCATCTGCATTTGAAGGGGTGCACGTGACCAAAGTTCCAGCCCTAAGCGAGCCCGCCCACAACCATTCCCGCCCGAGTAGAAAGCCTCAGTCTCGATTTCGACTTACCGCACTGTTATCATCTTCGACCTCAACAGCCGCACAGAGACAAGATGACGAAGCGCACGAAGAGTATGTGCCCCTTTTGAACCTCTACAGAACGACTGATGAGGTTTTAAATTTATGAACGACGAATCGCGAGACTAACATTTATTGCAGAGGTCGGTATCACGGGTAAATATGGTACCAGGTATGCTGCCACGCTTTTCCACCACGAAGTCTTGAAATCGGGATGAAGTCGATCGAGTTTTTATTTCCCGGAAATCGAAGACGACAGATTCAACCTCGAATTTTGCGATACAGAAGAATCGATATTGACGATGGTTTGATAACAGATACGGTGCCTCCCTGCGTAAGCAGGTGAAGAAGATGGAAGTGTCCCAGCACGCCCGTTACATCTGCACCTTCTGCGGAAAGAACACCGTCAAGCGCAAGGCTGTTGGTATCTGGGAGTGCAAGGGTTGCAACAAGACCGTCGCCGGTGGTGCCTACACTGTCTCGTAAGTACCAACTCTACTATTGCCGCTGCTGCCTTGGATAAGCTGTGTCTTGGGTCCAGTGCAATCCCCATCGACTTGGACTGGGCCCTTGAGAAGCGGGCATGACATGGATGCTAATCGCTCGGATTGTGTTACAGTACCCCCGCCGCCGCTGCCACCCGTTCCACTATCCGTCGTCTCAGAGAAATTGCGGAGGTTTAAGTGTTGATGGAATTACTTTTTTCTATTACGTTTAAATCAAAAAATGAGAAAATGAGATCTGGAGAATTTCAATGAGCGAATGTCTCTTTCCACGAAGCCCGCTAGTTCGATGTTGGCAACGCCAACTGCTGTCGTTTGCACAAGGATTTTTCTTCACCATTAGATTTAAATACCATCGGTGATTCCAGACCTTTTACCCCGTTCCATCGAACCAATTAGTCGAGTTACCGGATTTATCGGATGAACCTTTTCGTACTACCACTCTTGTTCTGCACTTGGAAACAACGGAGCAACTTGTGATTGTGTCATGCCATCTGATGGACTCGTTTGTGGTAGCATGTGAGTATCTCAACAGGGGATGTTGGGTTCAGGTTGATGGATGTCCACTCGATAATTTTGAGTTGGATGTGTAGGGAGACACCGCCAACCACCGCATTTCCGCAAGGATGTAAAGGAAAACGCCCCCCTCGTGCATTTATCGACATGCATGCATACTATCCATATGTGCCAAATGTGGTCTTTTTGCTTGATCACCCATATAGAGTTCTATCCGTAGCTTGTTCGGACAGGTTGCTCAAGACGGTCGCAAACCTTAAAGGAAATGTGTTCACTACGTATCTGTTCCTTTTCTTTGGTTATTTTCGTTTTCTCGAACTACCGCTAGGGACGGACCGTTGTGTCAGCTAAATATATCAAGTTAGCTAATTATTCGTCATGTTTTAGGCAGATAAGAAAAGGTCATTCGGGAGTTCGCACTACTATACACTAACTACTAAATATTCATGGAGGAGGGGAAGATCAGGGTCACACCGACCCGTGGACTTTTCTACTAGCTTTTTCAGGGAAGAGAAAGAAAGACAGTCAACTACTAAAGCAGAGGGAGGGAACCCACTAACCAGGAAGAAAGAGGCTTGCTGAGACTAGAGATGCAAAGGTACTCAGCTGGTGCTGCAAGGGCAAGGCATTTTTCTCATTCATCATTCAAAAAAGAGAGCGCGCGGGTGACTAAGGCCAGGCGACGATATTCAATGAAGATCATTGGCTGGACCAAGGCCGGTCACGTTGGAGGCCAGACTGCATTGCGTTAGGCTGGATTTCAGGTCCACCTTCAAAAGGCCGGTTGCTTTCTCCCCACATCACTCGACCTGCTCTCTCTCCCCTTCTCCTTCCCACTCCCTCTGCCTTCCTGTCCCTTCTGCCGGTTGCTCTTCATGCCTTCTCTCAGCGTCTCTGCAGACAATTGTGGCACATCACCTTCTGTTAATGTCCGACACCTGTATTGTGTGCTTAGGAGACCTTGGCGAAAGCGCCAGCGATCCTCTTGCCGTCGCCGCCGAGGCCGCGCCAAGACTTGACCTCGGGGCAGAGGGCAAGTCGGCGGATACCTCCCTCAACAACCATGATGGCGTAGATGGCACAGAGGACTCGGGCCAGATCGCTCAGCTCCTCCCTTGTGGGCATATCCTGCACAATAACTGCCTGAAGCCCTGGGTCGAGCGAGCCAACAGCTGTCCGATATGTCGTCGGAGTTTCAACATGGTCGAACTAAGTGACCGCCCTGGTGGTAAGTACTTGATAAGTCCCTTTTATTTTATATGGACCTACCTACAATGGTCATGGATGGTCTCTACTTCCCTCTTGTTCGTTATGTGTATCTCAGTTAACTGATCTTTGGCTTCCCTTTAGGTCCCG